AGGAAGAGTTTTTGATACCGCTTCGACAATTTCATATTTCATGACGATTATTGGAAATGTCGTTTGTGTTCACATATCCTGTTTTCGGTTTTAATGTCAAAGGTGTGCACTTTTACGGGGAAAGCACTGCAGTAATGGTTATTAGTTCTGGAATCATGTGTGGTCTACACAGTTCTTTTTTAAATGTAAAGATCCAGGTGTTGTCCAAATTAGTTACAATTGCTAAAACATCTACGAAATGGAAAACATGTTTCTCTGAGAAGATTGAGTTCAACATGCAAACTCACGAATGTTGATCGTTAATAAGACTCCACTTCATATTTCCAAGCGTCATTTAGTACTTTTATAGTTGCATACCAACCATTACTGACTTGGATATTTGTGTTCGTGCAATCCTGGTACCAACTGACGATGAATCTCATGCATATTACATGATAAAATATAAAATAGTATGACTCCAAAATGAGTGGTTTCTATGATGTAGAGAACGCGAGGAAATAATTCACAGTTTCAGACCTTTTTGGCTCTCTTTTTCGTAGTGCGGAACATTATGGCACAAGCGTAAAGTAAAAGCAAATTTGTCTGCATTAGGACTTCCAACGTTCGAGAGCTGTACGTACACTACAGTATAAAAATTACTACATACAGTTTTAACTTTGTATTGCACCCGTACGAATTAGGATTTTACTATATTGTACAATAGTTGTCGTTAAATCAAATAAGTAAGTTTCCATTAAATTAAAAAAAATATTACAATTAATGATAAACATTTTAAATTCATCAATTTGTGATACAGTTGTGTGATCTTAGTGTCTCAAAGTGTTGTATGTCCATATTTTCCGCACTGAATTAATTTCGCCCTCTGCAAATAAACACTGTGAGGAATAGGTACTATTCGTTAGAATGATTCATATATTTTCTTTCTTTATTGTTGGTCGGTACCAGAACACGATAAGCAAAATGGGTAGAGCAATTGAAACACCCGTGTCGCGTTTTACGTGAGACCATGTGTTCTAAGAAGGTTGTTACGCGTGATCTTTCAAATCGAAGGAATTTATTCGGAACTTAAAAACTAAGTCAGCAAAGGACACGAATTCCAAAAGAATCACTTATGCCTCCTAAAAACTTCCGAGACAAGTTTTCATGAACAGACAATTTCTTGTCTCCGAAGTAACAAAACTTTGTTCCGCTTTGTGCTGACGCCGCGACGCTACAGTGGGTACTCCCTGCTCGTCGTCCGGAAAGTCCAACGTTGCCGACCGTTCTCCGTTTCTTAGGCCGTAGATTTCGGAGCGTCCTCGCCCCAAGGTTAACCGAAGTTGGAAATTCCAAGGGCGTCGATGCCCTATGCCAGGCAAAGACGTCGAGGATCGTGGCGAAAAGACATAATGTGGTTTGGGTTATTATTTGAGGTGGAATAACCGCAACCAGTGGGACGGTGGAGCGGGCGAAGTAGGCTATGCGAAAGAAAAAGTCGTTATTTCTAAACTCCCATGTCTGATGTCCATTGTAGTGGAACCGGGCGGGCGGGTGAACGGAAGGCGTCCGCTACTAGCTAGCTCTCTTCTGGAATCTTGTCGGCGTGCTGTGGCTCCAAATGTCGCCTCTTCTCTCCGCTCTAGACACGGAATAGCGGAGCAATGAAATGAAAATTGTTAGTCTTAGATGAGTTAGGTCCCGGACTTAAGTTATGAAAGCCATACACATCCATTTTTACTGCATGAAACTACATGACGCTTGGATGTTATATGTACGAACAGTATTTGTTTACTATTATTCTATGCACACTTCTCAGAACTCGCTCTGGGAGGCTATAAACTCGCCGTGCGCCGCAACAAGGCGTGTTCCTCTTGTCCGCGCAAGAAAGAGAGAGAGAGAGAGAGAGGGGGGGAGAGGGAGAGGGAGAAGCACCCATATGTCTTGAGTGCGTACGCGCGCGCTCACTCAACTTCCACTCCGTCAAGATGGTTTTTATAGGAGCTACTTTGATTATTTTTCCAAGCTTTTTTGTAATTCTCTGTAAGCAAACTCTGTTCCATTTATAAGAGCGTCGTATTTCTTTTCATAGCCGTTTCTACTCAATGCAACAGGAGGAGAACAGACGGTTTAAAACTATGAATCGACATGTACTGTGGACTATAAAGTTTCGTGAAATAACTTTATTACAGATTCTAGAATTCCCTGAAGAAATTAAAGGTAGCGAAAATCATCCAAATCCCAGCAACACCGACGCAATTTCGAATCTGCATGTGTAATTCGAAAAAAAAAAAAAAATAGAAATCGTATATTGGCTGCATGACAATTTCTTCTTTGCTAACAAGGTTCACCGTAACACATTACTGCTGTCTTATTTTTTAAGTGGTAATGCCAATAAGACGAATGGAAACAATCTAAATAATTCCTATTCGTAACATTTTCCGTGTGAGGAAATTGTAATTTTAACTAATTAAATCTACTGCTAAATATCATTATAGTGTCCAGAACTTGGAGGAGGGCAATCGATTATACATATTCATAACGTAGTCCCGCTGCCACGAGTTGATCGCTTCGTTGCAGGGCTGACCTTCGAGTGTTTCGCGGCGTCGGGGCGTGACGGGGTCGACTGGCTCGCTGGGTGACGCCGCGGCGAGGGGGCGGAGGGAGGGGG